AGAAGAAAGAGATTGTTTGGAGAAAAAAAGGAAAAAAGATAAGAATAAATTGATTCAATGGTGTCCATGTGTTGACTTTGAGACTTTTTTCAAGTTCATTCTGAAGTTTTATTAGCATTGTCGGACATTCTCGACAGAAAGCTGAGTGACCTTTCTTGCCATGACAATTCGCACAGGACCACTTGTCTTTTGTTGTTTCACATTTCCCCGGATGCGCACGACAACAGTAGCCACAGGATCGCTTGAACTTGCAGTTATTCGCTCTATGATTCCATTGTGAACAATTTAGGCATATAATCAGGTTGAAACGATCCATGACCTCTACTTTCTGCATTCCAGTCGAGATTCTTCCACCAACTCGTTCAATCTCACTTCTGAGCAATGAGTTGACTGCAAAAGTGGTCTTGTATCGTCCCTCTCTTAATATCAAGGTGTTCTTCCATTTTAATTCATGTTTCTCACCCCAGCGATTGTACTTAAAAATTTTCGCAATCCAAGTTCCAGCATTTTCTCTATTTAGCTCATTGTTCAGGATGATTGAGATTTGAGGATCTTTTAGCTTTGGTGTTTCAACTTTTCAGTTCATATTGTTCATTTGTTGTAATTCCTTAGCAAGGATCATTCTCCCTGCTTCGTTGTCGACTATCACCTTAACACCAAATCTTAAAGGAATTGTTTTATCTATTAAAAGATGATTGTTACCCATTTTTTCATACATTTCCGAGAAGATTTTCTTAGTAGTATACCCATCAAGCCGTCCATTTCCTTCCATAATTGTTATGTTGATCGAAGGTTTTATGGTTAGTCCAGTTACATCTAACCAATGTAATCGTTTACTGTTCTTGTTTTCGGTGTAGCTCAGGAAGATGTTTTGACCCTCAGGGTCACGGTCCTTAGTTGTAAGTGGATCGATCATTTTCTCAGGCTGGGTGTTTTTCGAAAGTTTGACAGTGTTTTGCCCACTTTGCTTCAAGAAGAGTGAAATTAGAGATATGTCTTCGTTATTTACATCTTGATGAGGTGTTGTTTCAACGAATGTTTTCAAGGCCACTAATGTCTCATCTATCGTTGCCGAATCTAATTGCTTCGACAATTCAAGGAAGAGTTTATCATCGGTAACATCCAATCTTCTGAGCGACAATATGAATTGTTCAATTGTCGGTCCTGTGTTCTATTTTCAAAAGAAAACCAAAGAGTTTAGTTAGGCATATCGCCCATTTCAGTACATTATGATGAAATAAAGAAATTACTTTTCTTACCCCATCATCCTCTATTTCACTGTCATATATGACGTTCATCTGTCGTTTTGGTGGTGGACCAGATGGTAGCAATCGGTCAACTTCATTGAGTCTCTTTTTTCCTTTCCTGGGGGACTTTTTCGGTGGATCTGGGGTAGTATTGAGTTCGACATTGTATATTTGTAATTGTCACTTGTAATAATTTAATTTAAAGGGATTTTGATTTGAAGTGAGTTAACACTGGGACTTCTCTTCTCAAAGTCTAACCGACCGATAAGTATATTAATCAACCCATAAGAGATTAACTATAAGAATACTAGAAAAAGTTAATCTAATCACCAATCTGAATTAACGTAATTTGAATGAGATCATCAAACACTTACCCAGATATTAAGATAATCAAATTGAAATTAAGGGAAATTGGGCAAGGCTCAAGATATGTCCGTAAGCTCAACTTTTCTACTTTCAGCTGACTTTTTTTCAGCTTATGACTCGCGGTTTTTTAGGAAAATGATTAAACAATTAATTCAGCAAACTAAGGTTATTTGACGCCTTATGAATATAGCGGGTACATGTTAGTCCACGATGAAATGAAAGTAATTAGTGAAAGACGGGGCTAATTAGCTGTCGACAGCTAACATTACATTAATTGTGTGATAGTTTGGTTGATTCAGGCCTTCCTTTGTCCATAGTAACCCTTAATAGACAAAACATAACCCAACTGTAACAATAATTGTGTAAATTAAGTAGAAATTAATCAATTGATTATTTTTTACAAAAATAATCTTAATTGATAAAAGCGATGTCATCAAAATTTTACCTCATCTTAATTGATGAGGTGATGATGGGATTCACCTCCTCGCTCCATAGGTAAAATATATATAAACAGAAACATTAACCAATAAAATTAAGTTTTATTAGTAGCTGAATTCAGATTCAGTTTTGAACTCTAATCCCTCCTCAAAGAGTTTTTCAGATTCTAATGATCCTTCTTGCATTCATTACTGCAATTATTATTCTTTATATTATTTTGTAAGATTATACTATAGCCCCCTTCTAGTTGTCCTGAAATTTTTGTATGAATAGCTAATACCAATATGTATTCATGAGTAGTATGAACTTGCGGAAATGTCTAGTATAGAAGTTACAGGGATTCAAAAATAGAAATTTGAATTGAGCTCTATGGAGTAATTCCTTATTTTGCCGAACATGAATAGGCTATCATTAAGTTCTGATGGATGCTCATTGCGATGGCACCGGTATGTCCCAAATGGCCCACGATTGAGACCAAATCTCATTGGGAACCGGTGATGTTGGCAGTCCAAAGCAGACTTAAGGAGACTTTGCTGCTTGCAAAAGCTCACAGCTTGCTCCTTGCTGCTGCAGACCTCATGCATCCAGTCGAGCATGGAACCAGGCTCGACTAGAGGAATATGGAGGAACATGGTGTTGATGTTGATGTTGATGTGGGATGCTTGCTACTGGAATGGACAGTATGGCTCTTGCCAATTTAGCTAGACGTGGATAATTTGCTTTCTATTAAAACTCTAAATCATCACGCTTATTTTAAGACAAAAGATACGAATCTATTTCGAGATCCATGAAGAGAGGATAGACGGTTAGAGAGATTTGTTGCTGTGGTCATTTTTTCACATTCTTGATCGATAGATGAAGCTCGTCTGCTTTGTAAAAACATATTGAACAGAAGAAATGGTCATTATCCAACTGCTTTCCAGATTTATCACAAAGAATACCAAAATATCGCCACACAGGGCTTTTTTTGTTACCCAGTAACTTGAGCTTTCAGCTATTAATCTATAATGATGAAGAAAAATTTTTGTAATATGTTGATGTGAAAAAAATAATGTTACATACTTCCAGGTTAACCATAATTAAGATATATATCTTGGTAGTTATACAGCTTGATAAACTAGAACAGGTGAAATTACTTTAAAAATAATACAACAATGATGAACTATACAAATCAGCTGAATGGGCGTATCACCCCACGCCACACATTACAAAAAGGCGGAGAAGGTACGAGTTTAAAAACTACTTTATCTATATGTATATAGGATCTTGAACAGTTAAAAATAAATTAGAAATTCACAAAAAAACGTATGAAGGAAATGCAAAAAATTTATTGAATTTATTTTTATTCATGGGCTTAAGAATCAGCATTTATTGCATATGTAATTTGTATGTGCTGTCTAGTAGCTGCAAGGTTTTTATCTGGTTCAACCGCCAACCTTTCTGCACATATTGAATCTGCGTCCGGTCGATAATTCATGTGTCGAATAGTAACGTCTATTCGATTACCTACGAAGGAATGGCAATATGGACATTCATATTTCACATTGCTCTTGCGTCTCCTCGATTTTCTTTCAATTGGTCCACTCTTTTGTAACGAGGGTCCAAATTTTGTTTGATTAGAATTTTCTCTCCACCAGTAACGTTAAAATCACTCCTTTCATAATCAGGTTTATTTTGAATAAGGCAATATTTTTTACAACCAGTTTCAACTTGTCCCAACACTTGACAAGGGAAATCAATACCTTGATAGTCAAACACTTTGCTTAAATAAAAAGAAAAATTGTTCAAATTAGTTTCACTGAGTTTCATATAAATTTATTGATATTTACCTTTATTACCCAGTTTTTTGGTTCATCAACATTGCTGTCAATACCAGAAGCCATTATTATAAGAAATAAAGTGGTCAATACTAGGTCAAACAAATTCAAAATGGAGAGTACAACCGAAATGATAGCTTTTTTGTATTTGAGTCGACTCTAAGTCGACTGACTCTAGTCGACCGAGTTGCTTGATTTTCGGCTTCGACTTGAGTTGGTTGTTGATCGACTGACTTACTGACTCCATAGACTAGCTTCGGTATCTACTAAAATGATAGTTGTGCGTCTATTTTTGTTACTTTCAGGTCTAAAATAGACAATCATCGAAAAATTGTTCATATAATAGGGAATTTACATTGTAAATGAAATATTAATTGAACTTGCAATTGCAAATGAATAAAACGAAAAGTAATAGACGCACAACTATCATTTTAGTCTCAATTTCTTATGAACAATCAATAGTACTACAAGTTGTCGATTTTTCATGGCACTGGCCCTAATAGTCTAAGATTAACAGGCCAAAACTCGTCATTCAATTTCAATAAAAGTTTTCTTAAATTGATCGTTGGGATCTAACAAATATAATAATACAAATGTGTCCCGAATTTGTTAATGAAAATTTGAAGAAAAAAAACCAAAACAAAAAAACATAACATAACAATCAATCAATCAATCAATAAATTGGGTTAAATTGAATTTCTATCAGAAGAAAAGAAAAAATGAGATCTGATCAGAAATCATTTATCATCAATTATGTAAAGATTTTCTGATCATCTTCACGGTGATCACTTGCATTGTACTTTTGAAATATAATATCTGCACTTGAGAGAGAGAGAGAGAGAGAGAGAGAGATTTTCTTAGTTCAGGGGATCCCAGAAGGGGAGCTCTTAGGCTTATGCGGCGCCTTATCCAGTCCGGAGGGCCTGGGACAATCAAACGGACGCACAATTGACCAAAAATTCAGCTTAATTTTTGCATTTTGAGCCGATGGACACCAACGATAAGTGTGTTGAATAACCATTGGCTCCACCTCCAACCATTAACGCTCATCTTACCAAAAAAAGTAACGAAAAAGAAAGACTAGTAGTGCCCCCTGGCGTATTCGAATCCGAACTAATTTTTCTTCTCTCTTACTGTTAGCTTATTTATTATCTTTTCACTTCACTTTGAGTTTTGTGTCTATTCTTCACAATTGTTAATGTTTAATAAGATTTTAATTTTCTATTCTATTGTGTTGGTTTAGATTTTCTTTTTTAAACAACAAACATTAATATTTATATTCATTCATCTATAATGCTTTCAGTATCCTGCCAAATGTATCCTGAACCTCTTAATTTATCATCACCTTTACCACCTTCACCACCAACAGCAGCTTTGCCAACAAAACAAATCAGTCCTCTGATCACATCATCAACCACAACCAACAACAACAACCACAACAACAATAATAATAACAACAACATAGTGATTGTCAATAATACTGGTAACATAATTAGTCGTTACAATATAAACAATAATAATAATAACAGTTATGTTAAATCTCGTAAAGTGAATTGGGTTCAATTATCTGGTCATGAGAATACTTTTGCCTTTGGTGGACCAGAAATTTTGTATAAAAAGTGTAAACCTGATGGACATGAAGTTATCGCCTACAAATCTCTTATGGAGGAAGTAACCATGAAACCATTTATTCCAATGTATCGTGGAACCGTTACCGTTAATGAATCATGTTTCATTGCCATTGACAATCTATTGTATCCATTTGACAATCCATTTATCATGGACATTAAAATGGGATCAAGGACTTTCCTTGAAGACGAGGTTTCAAATGATGAACCCAGAAAAGATCTGTACGAGAAGATGATTAAATTGGACCCTAATTCGTTATCATCAGAGGAGAAGTCAAATAGGGCAATAACCAAGTTAAAATATATGCAATTAAGGGAGCAATTAAGTTCATCATCAAATCTCGGATTCCGTATTGAAGCATTCAAGGTGAGCAACTTGAAAAAAAAAGAAATAGAAAATTAAAAGAAGAGCAGAAAATAAGTTGATATAATACAGTATAATTTATGTTCTTAGATAATAATTTTCTCTCTTCTCTCTCTCTCTCTCTTTCTCTCTGTGTCGTGTAATATAATATATTTATATATAATTATCTTATCTTCAATTAAGCAGACAGAATCAAAACAAACTGCAGCCAAAGATTTATCCTTTGTGAAAACTCGTGATGAGGTGAAAATCTGCTTACAAAAATTTCTTCCTACTCGGCGGGACCAGTTAAATGCACTTGTTGATCGACTTCAATCAATACAAAGTTCATTTCAAAAATCAGCCTTTTTCTCAACCCATGAGGTGATCGGTAGCTCTTTACTTATGGTCTATGATAAATCTAAAGTTGATGTTTGGATGATTGATTTCGCTAAAACAGTTCCACTGCCGAGAGATGTTACTATTGACCATGTTTCACCTTGGAAATTGGGAAATCATGAAGATGGTTATCTATATGGATTACAGAATTTGATAAGCATTGTGAAAGAATTTTAAAAGAAGCGATAGATAAGTTGATTGAGTTGAGAGTGCATCATGATGATGTTCATGATGATTTTCAAGCTGATGATGATGATAACCCAACCCACCGACTTTGCTACTTAATTTTTAATGTATTATTATATTGTATTGTATTGTTATTATTGTTATATTATATTTCATTTAATTGAAGCAAATTTAAAGTTATATTGTCGTTTTTTTCAATCTTTCTTTACGTGTTGTGAAAGATATTAAATTTTACCAGAGAGAGAGAAAGAAAGTAACCAGATTAAGTTGATTGTTGTGATTTTCATTGAGAAAAACTGCCAATAATTAAATTGTGATATGACAACAATCAAAAAGTCCAAAGGAAGCAAAAAAAAAATACAATATAATATAATATAAAATCTCAATGGGATCATGTTGATTAAAAGGCCGAATCATAAATTGAATAACAATACATTATGATATTAATAGTGAATTAAATTTCAAACAATTAAACAACTAACTTTAAATTGCTTTTGTTTGTTGATCAAAATTAACAATCAGATGATTATTATTATTATGATGATTGTTATTTTTAATTGTCTCTGATATTTTTAAATCATAAGCTAAATTGTAGGCGGTTATTATTTGGAGGGATAGTTATTATTATAACATTGATAATGATTAAATTTAATTGTTAATCATTATCATTTGTTTGAACGTCAAAAACAAAACAAAACATTTAATCATAATTTTTATTAGTTAACTATTTCATTTGGTTACTTTAATTACAATAACATTTTGTAATCTTAATTGTATTGGCATCTTTATCCGGGTGATCATCACCTCGTAATTAATTAATCAATTAGATTGATTGTCTTCTTGTTAATCTTTATTAGCTAATCGTAAACGGATATTGGGGCTTTTCCTGTATGTTATTAATTAGGGATTAGTTAATCAATCAAACAAACAAAAAGTAAAAAGAAAACATAATATAACAATTAAAGTAGATAATTAAATCAGTTAGTTGATGATTAAGGATTATCATGTCATTGATATTGTCTCTCTCTCTCTCTCTCTCTCTAATTGCTGGGTGATTAATTATATTTATGACTATGATTAACATGGTAAACAATGTTAATTTGATAATTGATATAATCTATGTCATAATCTAATTTATTTTTCACTAATTATCGAAAAACTATTCAATCATTGTTGATTGTTGGATTTTAATCAGCTCATTTCGACTTCAATGTTAACTGTTGTTGTTTGTTGTACTTATTTACCATCAATTCTGATTACCTAATTAAGTTGTATTCATTTGTTTTCTTCATAACTAATTACTTGATTTAACTGATTGTAAGTATGTTATGTAAATGTAATTAAGTCGCATACTAATTAGGGTGGTGATGTTTTTTTTTATTTACTACACCAAATAATCAATGGTAATTGAATTGAATCAGGAATTGAAGTTAATTATCATGAGAATCAACGTGATGAGTGTGAAATGATTTTACCAAAGTGCGAAAATGACTTTATTTATCTTTCAATTCAATTCTATTTCATTCATGTCTCTCTCTCTCACACACACTTACTCCCTCTCTTCATCATCATTTATCATCTTACTCTTTCATCTGTTAACATAGAAAAAAAAAACATATTCTCATCTATTTAGAGCTCTGAATGACGCACAGAAACATCATGGAGAAAAGAAAAAAGTTCCAACGATTATTCTCAGAGAATGATGTTGATGATTGGGAAATAGAGGTTGAGTGAAACAGTTTAATGAAGATGATGATGAAGAAGAAGAAGCAAAATGAGATGATACTAATTGATTGATTGTTTAAACAATCGATTGAGGATAAAATCCAATTGGATTTGATTATCTATTCTCTTTTTTATAATATCATCGTTTTTATTTAGAAATCGCAAAATCATCAGCGTCATTAAACACAATCGCGATAAAGATAATTTGTTGAGCAATTAGAAAAAATTGATTAACTTTTTACAAAACAATAGATTCTGATAATGAAGTTTATGTCCGGTTATGTTGCTATTAACTACCGTTTCTTAATTTACCATTTCCAGTTTTCAGGTACATTTCATGTATAAATAAATACAAAAAAATGTGATGATAATTATGATAATTTCATCGTTATCGTCATCAATGATACTGCTATCATCATCATCATCCTGATCAATATCTATTATATTTATTGGTACTAGCATAATAATGATACAGTGAGTTGATGATGATGATGATGATGATGGAGATGAGTGAGTAAACTTGAATGATCGGACTGGTCCACCGGGAGTAAGTCTGTGAGCTTGAATTGGGTTGTACTTAGGTCCTCTTATTGGGCTATTCAGTGATGATGACGACTTTGATGACGACAATGAAGATGAAGTTGATGATGATAAGTGTGAATGCCTTGATGTGGAAATAATTTTCTCTTTTTCTTCATTCGATTCTCTTTTTTTTTTGAAAGAACAAATTTTGTTTTCATTCTTAAAATTTATCTACACACACACACACACTACATTTATATGGGCCAAGGTATAACTTTACGTAACCTGGATGATTGATTGTCTTTTTTATGATGAATCACAATTTATTGATTGTTCTAGTGCAATTCTATACCTGGTTGATTGAGTTTTACGGAAAACAATCAGTTAATCTAGTTGGGTAATTAATTATAATTTCCGACAAACAGCTGAACATATTTATGTGTATTTTCAATGATAACTTGTTGCGGTTTCAATTTTGACAATTAAAACATTTTAAATTGTTATACTTTTTTTTGGATGAAAAAAACTTACCACTGATTAAATTGTTGGTTTTAATTTGGTTGACCAATACAAATACAAATAAGTTGATAATAAGGTAATTGCATTTAAAGTGGTCAAGCAATTGGACTAATCATCTTGTTTTTTTTATTCAGATTTCAAGTTTCAATTCAATATGATTTAGATTGATGATCAAATATTTACCGTTACCTGGATATTTGTTATTAAATCTGATTGGAATCAAGAATCAAACTTTTTTTTCCGGTAAAAACTGTTTACCCAAATCTTATTGTACCAATTGCTGGCAATTAACATCCTAATTCAGTTGAATTGGTATTTCAGATAATCATGATAACTTGTTAACTGTTTATTTAACTTTTGGACAATTGAATTAAATTGCAAATTCATTTTCCAATCAGCACAATTAACTTTATTAAGGAAACACTTCAACATATAGCGACATCTTTCATCATTCAAAGTTACAATTGTATCAACCAGTTAATTGTGAAATCAAATTTTCCTTTTAATTGTCAACAATTTACACTTTTAATTACTAATAAATGATAATTTATTTCTACAATTACAATTTAAAACACTAGAAGCTCATTTTGATTAGATGGAAAATCAATTGTAATTATCAATCAATCATTTCCAATATAAAAAAAACAGTTCACTTTCAAAACAATCAAAACACTAATTAAATGACACAATTAACTCAAATTGATCAATCAAATGAGAAATAAAAAGTTTTAATTCTTTCATTATTTTAATTGTTGGGAAAAAAAACTTTACCAATTTAAATTAATTCATTTCCTTAACCTTTTTACCTCAAGTGACCCTGAATGAATGAATGGTAATTACTTTCAATCATTTCCAACAATCAACAGTATAATTAAGTCATTAATCAAGGCGATTTTATCAATCGAATTTCTCCAGTTAATTAAATGGAAAAATCTAATTGAGATTCGTTTTTCTTCAACAATTTGAGAAAAATTCAATTTCCATTGAGAGCGAATTTTCTCGAGTCACAAATATTCCGATAGATGGAGTCACTTCCAAGAAGAATGTTTTTCTTTTCCTTTTTAAATTTTCTCGGGCGTTGGCTGCAAATCTTTAAAAAGATTTACTATTTATTTAAATTCGGTTCTTAAATTGTTGTTTATTTTTTACCTACCTGTCGATTTGTTAATCTAACCAATATGCCGAAAAATAAGGGTAAGAAGTTGACCATAAAATGTTAATCTTTTGTTTTTCCATCTCCAATTGTTACTCTGTGTCTCTTTCTTTTCCATGGTCTATGTTTTTTCCCTTTCCTTTTGGTTTCCTCTTTCTTTCCTTTCTTTTACTTGTGTCTTTCTCTCTTTCTTTCTCTCTTTCTCTTGTTTGTTGTCACATGAGAGAAATGGGTACTCATGACGATGCAATATCCATACCTTATCCTTTATTATCTACTTTTCCTCTGTGTTTATGTTTTCTACTTTTTTTTCGACCCTCACTTATAACCACAACTTCATTTTAAACCTCATGGTTTGGGTTTAGCTCTTTACTGATGAATTGTTTTGTTTTTTCTTCTTTTTCTATACAGGAAAGGGAGGTAAAAATCGTCGTCGTGGAAAGAACGAAAATGAGACCGAAAAACGTGAACTAGTATTTAAAGAAGATGGACAAGGTAATCACATGTTTCCAATATTATTCTCGATTCTCATCCCTTTACCCTTTTCATTTTCTTCAATTTCATCTAGTCTAATGTCTTGTTTTTGTTTTCTATTCTCATATATCTTATAGAATATGCTCAAGTAGTTAAAATGCTTGGTAATGGTAGACTGGAGGCATTTTGTTTCGATGGTGTTAAACGACTTTGTCACATTCGCGGTAAACTGAGGAAAAAAGTTTGGATCAACCAGGGAGATATCATTTTAGTTGGATTACGAGATTATCAAGATTCTAAAGCAGATGTTATATTGAAATATAATCACGACGAGGCTCGTAATCTTAAAGCATACGGTGAACTTCCTGAAAATGCTAAAATCAATGAAAATGTATATGGTGAAGAGGAGGAAGATGATAATATTGAATTCGGTGATGTCACAGATGATGGTAGCAGTGCAAGTGACGCTGAAGAAGCAGCAATAGAAGCTATATGATTTAAGGTTCTGCGCTAGTTTCATCAATTATAATAAAGAAAAAGAAATTTTAATATTTCTCTTTTTTATACAAAAACAAAACGATCACTAATACACACACACCATTCAAGTATTTGAGAAAAGAAAAAAAAAGTTTATACTCTTCCTGGTTCCTTTTTCTGGTAAAGAGAAAAAAAAACAAGTTTCCCACTTCTACCAATGCAATTTTCTTCCCTTCAACTCCATTTAACCCTTTATCCTTCTTCCACCACGTTCCCTAATCACCTGATAATCAAACCAATTTACTAATCACTTTAGTATCTCCGTTCAAGTTCAATTTCTCGTCTTCCTTTTGCTCTGTGATTCAATTTAGTTAATTAATTTATCTTATTTTCTTTCTTTTTTTTTGTAAATTTCTAATGTTTAATTTAACATGTACAATCCATGAAGCAAGAACAAAAAAACCACATGTTTCATGTTTTTCAATCAGAATCTGTTAGAAAATCAATCATGGGTGCACGATTTTTCTGAACATTTTCATTAGGCTGCCGTTGATTGTTCGTGATTGTTGTAGGTGCTGGAGATTTACTTGGTTCAGCTGATTGTTTGCCTTGATTCTTTTCTTCTAAAGTTTCCTTGTATTTTTCAAATGCAATGGAAAAAGCCTGAGATATTGTAAGGGCTAAAAAGAGAAAGAGAGAGAGGTGGAGGGAAATAAGGAAGAATTAAGAAGGAAATGAGCAATTAGTTGATTGATCTTTGGTAATGATTGGTAGTTGATCATCTTCATTAGAAAACAGGAAACAATTTAAACTCACTGTTTTTCTAATGAAATGAGATATTAAAAAATGATTAATTGATAACTAGGAAGTAATTCTAAAGAAATTAGAAAGATGATCAGACAAGAGAGAGAGAGAGGGGGAGGGAGGGAGGGAGAAGAAGAGAAAAGTTGACAATTAAATTACCACAGGCTCGAGCGACTTCATCTTTTCGGGTAAGGAAAGCGTGACATTCATGGGTCTCATTTACATTGGTGGCGATGAAAGCGACAACTCGATCGTAATTGGCATCAGCTGAACAATAAGAAATCCTAAACGAGAACACGGAAAGTAAGAGATATGAAGCATGAGATGAAAGTTGACACATGTTGAATGGGTCAAAAGGGTTACCTGTAGATTGAAATATCGAAAATTTCATCATCATTGAGAGCGTCTTTGCAACTTATTCCAGTGGGTTTAATGGTAAGCACAACCTTTCGCAAGCTTTTAGCTTTGCCACTCATTTTAGCCTGAGAATAAAGAAAAGTACGAAAAATATTCCAAATGAGAAAAAGGGAACATTTTCTTTGAACCTTCACCTCAAACTGACCATTTGAATGATGGTTTTAATTGCATCTGCAGTTGTTGAATCGTCCGAAGCTTTTTCAACCAAAGTGGACCCAATGTATTTACAATGGAAAGGTAAACCCTCACTGACTGGTTCTTTAATATCTTCACCCCATTCCTCAGGTAGTTCTGGCCAAGGTAAAGAGAGAAAAGGTTGTTTTAATTGGAGAAGAGCATAAAATCACAATTGGTAAACAATTAAGAGAAATTAAGAAAGGGACAACTTACTTTCATGTTTTGTTTTACCAAAAGTTAAGGCCTTCAACAAGGAGGACATAATGATGGAGATAAGTGGTTTTCAGATTATAGTTACTCGTTTTCTGGTTTACAGTTGATCATATAAAATGTAAAGATGATGTGATTAAGATGATGATGAGGGAGAAAGAGAAGAAGAAAAATTTGTTCTTTTCTAAAAAAAATTGACCAACATTATTAGTGAGAAAGAGGGAGAGAGAGAGAATGAGAGAGATGAAGATAATGATGTGAGAACCGGTATCCACCCAAAAAACACGTTACTTTCTTGGTTACTTTGCTTTTGTCTTTTCCTTGTACTTGTTTCCTTAAATTAATTTGATCATCAAATTGTGACCAATTAGATTGTGATTTACTTGATGATTTGTATCAATCAAATCTAACGATTGACCATCAACACCATCATGATCACCATCAAGTTGATGGCTTCAACTGTCAAACCAAAACAAACGAAGAAAAAAAAATTCATTTTCTCTCAGTTTGTCTTCTAGATGGCGACACCTTTTCCATAATAAGAGTCGATTTTTTTTCTCAATTAAATTTGATCAACACGAAGATTAATTTAATTGATTTCCAATTGATCATTAATCAGTCAGCTAAATGAACTTTAAATGTTCATTAATTATTGTTAAATTGTTCATCTTTCCGAGAGAGTCAATTGATTAGCTATAAATGACCAAAAGAGCTTTTTTTTACCAACTAATTGTTAATACAAATTGATGATTAAAGAATTAATTTAATGTGAAATTAATTGTTAATTGTTAATTGATTTTTTTTATTATTTAGGATAAACATAAGAAAAGAGAAGTAAATTTTTTAACAATTTAACAACTGATTAACTGATTGGTTTGGAAAATGAGGAAGAGGAAAAAAAATTGATCCAAACCAGAAGACAATGAGATCGCAATTAGTTGAGTGTATAAAGTAATCAATTTAATGATAACAATCTAATTTAATCATTTTGTTTATAATAAAATCAATAAACAAACAGTTAATTGGTTAAAATTCATTGAGCAATCTTAGATTTGGCTAAAATCAACTCAATCTAATAACAATTTAATCCTTGATCATCAATTCTTATTGATTTTTTGCTTCTCTTCATCTAATTGTGATTCTGTTATTTATCATGACGATATTAATGATTAACAAATTAGGAATTGATGTTTGTTATTAAATGATTCTGACGAAGTGGATAAAGTTTATCATCATGATGATAATAATAATAAAGGAGAATATGATTATGATGATAGATAAGAATCAGAATTTTCTCTTACTTTTACTTTTCTTTGTTTGATTTATGGTTCTGTTGACTGGAAAGCTCAAGATTCTCAGTGAAAATGATGATTCCGAAAGATTCTGAATCAGGATGATTCAGATAAGATGATGAGGATGCTAAGGAATAAGAAGAAGAAAAAATAATAAGATGAAAAGAAAAAATCGGAAATGAAAAGATTTTCATCAGGAGATGAGAATATTTCTTTGCTCTCTCATCTGCAACTTTACTGATACTTAACTTGTGATATTATCTCTCATCTCTTATCTCCATCATCATCATGATAATCAGTATGAAAATAACTGTTCCTGTATCCAAGGTAATACAATCATTTGATCATGTTTTGTAACTCTTTATCAATATAATATCTTATATAATAATAAGAAAGTTAACAGAAAAAAACTAAAATTATGATAATGTTACATGATAAAGATTATAAAAGGATGCGGATGATGAAAAGATAACTGTAGATGGAAGATGAAAAATTATTGTTGTCTGGGAGTTTTGTTATATTATTTTTATCTGTATCATCATCATAATGATAAAAATGGTTGAAAGAGGTTAAAAAGTAGAAGAGTGGATGATAATTCAGTAGCTTGTGAGAGGTAGAGAGAGAGAGAGAGAGAGAGAGAGAGAGAGAGAGAGTCATAATTTCTCATGGAAGAGAGGGTAAAATGATCTTTAGAATCGGGAATTGGGAGTGAGAAAACTGGTCTACATTTTCAACAGCTAATTCTCTTGATCTTTTATCTTCCATAACCATTCAAAGTGTATTCATTCCTAATTTCCCTCATCTTTTTATTCAGTATTATGGTTATAATTCATTGTCTATTGTCAATTCACCGAAAATCAGAACCAGAATTGAATAACAAGCAACTTCCTTTGGAAATTAGCTTTTCCTGTTAACAGAAACTTTTCCCTTTTCTCATCATCACCATCAGCATACATTTGTATACACTTTGAATAGATAATGTTCATCATAAATATCACCATGAATTTCATTTCAAAGTCATCATAGTCTAAGTATTCAAAGAAAAAACCATTTCCACTTTTGGTGATTCTTGATAGTTTAATCTTAATCATCACATCGAATATCAAAAAAGTTTTATTACAATTTTATCAATTAGCAAGTATCTTTAATCAATAGATATAAATGTATTCAGTATTTAATCAACATTGGAACGAAATTAATTGTAATAATAATCATAATAACAACGACCAGAAACAGCAAAACAATAGGATATAATATTATTAGTATCATCAGAATTTGATTGTGTTCAACTTGATTACCTAATTCTAATGAATTGAATAGAAGCACAAGAAAAAAAAGAAGGAAAAAAAGTTCATTAAAGCCTCAAATTTTCATGGTACTGATTGAAAGACATGAAGATAAATGATGATGATGAAAATGAATGAGATGATAACTAAGCATAAAAACTAAAAAGGAATAAAAGTTTCATCAAATTAACTGTTAATTTGATTTTCCTTGAAAATCTCTTAATGAATGGAGAGAGTGAGAGAGAAACAAATAATCGTAAACTATTAATTCATGAAGCATTCAAATGATATAACATTAGATTGTAAGAGTATCATGATATTAGAGATGAAAATAAAAGGCATCATGATGAAGATGAAATTGATGAGGATGAACTTTTCTCCCTTTCTATTAATAATACTTACAATATTTACATTGATTTAACCTTCACAACTAATTGAAAGTGATAAACAATTAGTTTATATTCACAATTTAGTCTTTTTCATTTACTCTTGTTTAATCTTGATTTGTATTAATAGTAAACTCATTGATTCAATAACAACAAAATTAATACTAATTAATGTTGCAACTAATTCTTAACATTGAATTTGCCTCAAGCATCAATATAAAAGCTTACATTTAGTATTCATATCAGATTATTTTGATTTATTAGATGTTGTAATTAAATCATTAATCTAATTGGAAAAACCTAAATCATTATGAATTAAACACATAATGTAATTCAAATTAATGTAGATTTTTTTACATTCATAGAACCACAGCAAATATCAACTAGAATAATTAACTAAATTGAATCTCATCTGATTGTATCATCATCTTTAATAATGATGATTAACTGAGAAAATGATTTGAATTTCAATTTGATTGTGATAATGATAATTGTCCAAAGATAAAAAAGGTTTGATATCACTTTTGAATCTAATTAATTATTATCAATTGTTAGGATATTTAGTCGAGAAATCAGTTGATTGTGTAAAATTTAGATTGGAATTAGTAGTTACATTAAGATGATTCCTTTGTCAATCGAGAGTGAAAGTCGATAAAAATTTGATAAGTTATCGATAAGTTTTTCTCGATTAGTAAATAAATGCCAATGAAAATGTGATAATTTTATCTGATTGAGATTAAAAGTTTAATTTCCATCATGTTTACTATTAATGGTAATTGCTCAAGTGGATTATTTGATTGATGGTGATTACCATGTGACCCCTCATTACTTTGCGATTACAGAAATGGACAGGGTGATTGTGATTAATTCATGTAATTCATTAATATGCAAAATAGAAATAAAGTTTAAAATGATGAAGGGAGAGCAATGAATGGGAATAAGTGAGAGAAGAGTAAGATCAGTTCCCTTGTCACCAATTACAGGATCATCATCATCATCATGAGATGTAAGGAGAAAGTGAAAAATAATCAAGTTGAAAATTCGAAAATTTCTTTCCTCTCTCTATATCCTATTCATAGGCTAAATGATAATTTTATAATATGAAAGCAAAAGATTCAACGGAAGCATCAGATTAGCTGTGGATGATATGAAGATGAGGATAAAAGAAGAAGACAAAAAGCTAATAGTTTCCAATTCATTGATGATGTTGATCCAGCAAGAGAAAGGACTGGGAGTGGAAAATCCAATGAGCGAAAGAGAGAGAGAGAGAGAGAGAGAGAGAGCTGATTCATCATCTCAATAGACTTTTTCCCCAATCATGTTCCTCATTTTCATGAATACATGGTTCATCTTCATCATCAAACTGGAGATAATGATGATAAACCCTCTTGTGAAACCAATGAATGGTAATAATCATTGACAAGAGAGAGAGAAAGAAATAAAGATGAAAAAAGAAAGGAAATTGGCGTAAGTAGAAATCAAAGATCTGGAAAGAAAAGAGAGCAGATAAAAAGAGAGAGAGAGAGAGAGATGAACATGATTCTTGATGAATACCAGGATAAAGGAGAAAGATAAAGGTATGAAGATCGGTGATGAGGCAGAAGATTATCCATAAGTTGAGAGGAAGAAAATAAAAAGATTCTAATCGGGAATCTACTTGGATTCTTATTAATATACAAAAATGGTTGATTCCATTCAATTGGCTTCTCAATGAACATTTCATCTTCAATCAATCTTATCCTATGGTGTGTCTATTATGGTAACAACTCACTGATTACTCGTGTTGGAACTTTTTCCCTCCTCCGCTATCAGGTTAATCAAGTTGATAAGAAGGAAAATAAGTTAACATGTTATTCAGAATCATCTTTTTCATGATACATTCATTGCGATTGGAATTAAAGCTGAAAAGACATTGACTATTCACCTTTTGGAATGAACTTTGATTCAGTGATTACTATGATCATCTATCAATCTTTGTATTATTATTCAGTCAATAGTCAATACGAATACCTGAACCGTTTCAGTGTTTAATTCCTAATTCATGATTAAAATGTATCCATGTTTTCAATCTTCATCTTTTACCCTCATTCTGATTAAGAGATGAGGATAATCAGTTTTTCTTATTACAAAAAGTGGACAGTTTTAGGTAGTTGACTAAATCTCATAATATGAATACTGTTTCTATAAGATTAATATGAGTCAGAAAATTGTCTTCTCTCTCTCTCTCTCTCTCTCTCTCTCTAATATCAATATCTTTCTAATATATGGGTGATTGAATGTGAGGCAGTGATCAGAATGATAAATCTTCAGCTTTATTAGGATATAACTTTTTTCATCTTCATCATAATCATCATTCCGACTCACAGGCTTATTCAGCAGTCTTTCTCCCTCTCTCTCTCTCTGTAACTTTAATCATGATGATTTGACTTATACCAATTGGATAATCACTTGCTGATGAAAAG